ATTGTTCCAGAAGAGGAATTGGTCTGGATTTGTACTCTTGGTTTTGAGTGTTGGAACTAAAATGAAGATGTTATGTTTACAAGTTCCTTAACCATGTAATGTAGTTCTGTTGCTATATCTACTGCCGATTGATAATTACAATTCATTCTTAGTCAACATGCACACTTTTTTTTATACTGTTCTTCTGGATATGAGAGTTTGTTGCTAAAGTTGTATCTCAATTCGGAACTGGGGGAAATCCAGTGCAGGGTACATCAGTTTTGCCTAACAATGTTTTGATCTGGGAATGAGGAATACTGATTGGTAATTTGTCGTAATTTGGGAAAGAAGCCCTCTTGCAATCCCGCATATGATGTTGAATCGCATTTGCCAATCGAGCATCGAACTCTTATACAAACCAAATTCCAGCTGTATTGCAATTAATATTGCAAATTAGGTAACTTACTGAACAAAATAGAATCGAGGCTTTTGTTTTCCATGTACCAGCATCTTCTCCTCCATATCAATACATTCCCGGAGTAAACATATATACTAGGGCCTCGTTTACTTCAATATATTAGGTCTCTTTTTCTCTCTTTCCCTAATCGTGAAAACATCTAAATTTAATGTTTTCGGTGAACAATTTGCATATCCTATTATGTTGATGCGAATGTTATAAACTACTTCTTTTCATACCACATATCTAATGGATGGTTGGACTCTATTTAATCCTATTGTTGGGAGTGATGGTTAGACTCTATTTAATCTTATTGTTTGGGAGTAGTCTAAAAAGCTCTATGATTTTTTTCGATACATTCTAAAAGGTAGAAGTTTTTAGGGAATTTGAAGAAAATTTCAACAACTTGATGATAACTTCTTAAATATTTCTTTTAATAGGCCGGTTTTTGGCCTGGAACCGGATCGAACCGGCCCGTTGACCGACGAATCGGTACCGGAACCGTGAATCGGCCCGTGTCTATCGGAACGGGCCTGGTTCTTGAAAAATGTGAACCGTGTGAACCGCCGATTCGGCCCCGCATTTCACCCGAATTGAAAAAAAAATATTTTAATATTTGAACATTAAGTAATCCTTTTAATTCTTTTCACATTTCCTATCTAAAAGTAATTCTTTTAATTTATTTATCAATTAAGAATGTCAAAATCTAAAATATGTAAGTGTTAAGTATTTAATACTTCAAATAAAAACATATTTTGAACATTAAGTATTTAAAAATCTAAAATATTTGAATATTAATTTCACTCTGGACAATATATTAAGTGTTTTAACTTGTCTTTTCATATATAAAAAATTAAAAGAAATACAACAAGTATTTAAAATTTTATTATATTTTAAAATTAAATATTTAAGTACTTCATAATTCAAATTAAAAAAAAAATTATTTAAATACTTCAAAAAAGAATTTGAATTTTTTTTTTAACTTTTTTTTAATAAAAATGCAGTAAGGTTTTAAAATATTTGAACTTAAGGAATTTAAATACTTCAAGTAAAAATATAAGATGAACATTAAGAAGGCGGCGGTTATATGCAAACCCATTTTTTTATTACTTCAAAACCACATAAAGGAGTTTATTAGTTCAAGCTCGTACATTAATCTAATTTTATTACATCAAGACCAAAGATGACAAATATACCCTTATCCACAAATAATACTCAAAAATACAAATAAATCATATTTTTAATTTGTTCAAGACCAAAAAAAATAAAAAAAAATATCACGACTGCCGCCGCAAGACCGCCGCAACGCCGACTAGCGAGACTTCCACCACACTGGCGATGACCAGCGACTCACCCACCGCACCACCACCAACAAGTAAGTCCTTTTTACTAAACTTTTGTTTGTAAATTCGAAAACATTAATCGAACATCGATTCTTGATAAATATGTATGAATGAACATTAATCTATGCTTATTTCTTGTTGGATTGCAATGATTTGGCCGATTTTGAAAAAAAAATTGAGATTGAAATTAGTTTTTTTTTTTTTTGTTGGTTTCCCAAATCGGTTTACCCTGACCGATTTTGTACACGAAAATCGGCGTCATAATGCCGATTTTTGTTAACAAAATCGGCGACTCAAGTCGACTTTGCAAGTTCAAATCGGCGTCTAATGTCGATTGTTGAGTACAAAATCGGTTTTCGGATACCAATATTTTTCGGATTCTTTTTTTAAATAATACATTATATATTTGGTTAGTTGATATTTTTTAAATATTTGAAACAAAAATGATTATCACCATTCGGTGGCGTCTACCAACTTCTTTAACCCAATCGAGTAGAGCTTTCCGTGTCTCAAATATTTATTCGTTACATAATTCATTTGAATAATCCTCCATCAATCCCCTAGGTTGCTGCACGAAAGTATGAGAAAACGGTCTAAAAAAACACAGATAATAAAATCGGCATGACAATACCGATAATACAAAAATAAATCGGTGTTGTCATACCGGTTTTTACTACAAAATCGGTTTTTAAGTACCAATTTTTATTAAAATAATCGGAATGTGGTTACCGACTTTAGTAACAAAAATCGGTATTTGCAGACCGATTTTTGGTATCGTCAACTTTTTTTCCAACAAAAAAAAAAACGACCCAAAAGCAAAAATAAACGGTTAAAACATACTTCATTGTGTTCTTCACCCTCGTAAATCACCATATCATTGTTTCTGGTTCCATCGTAAATGTTTGGTATGTATTTGATAATTTTGGTGTGTAGGATTTCTTGGTGGGTTTGTGAAGAAGAAGGAGAAGAATGAGGAGATTTTTAAGTCGTGAAATAAGGAAGAGTGTATTTTATTTGGTCTTGCACAAAGGAAATGATTTTTTTTTTTTTTAATGTTTTGTGTTTTTTATTTCAATTTTGGTGGTTCACTCCGATTCTATAATGGAACCACCAAAGGAAATAATCTTATTTTTGGATAATCCTATAATGGAACCACCAAAATTGGTCGGATTTGATCAGATTAGAACTAGCACATTTGGAAATTTTCAATTTTATAGATCTCGTTTGCTTACAGCTATTAAGCTCTATTTAACTTAATACCAAGAGCTAGAGTTAAACATCTTTAAATTAATACAGGTGGGACTAGGGAAATTCTATTAATTTATCGAATTATTAAATTATCAAGTTAATAATTTAATATGTTTTCACCGAGTCGGGACTGAGAGAAACTATTATTTAGTCGAAGTTATTAATTTATCGATTATTAATTTATCGAGATTCTATTGTAGTAAGATATTTGGTTGATAAAAATCTTGATTAGTCAAGTAAGCTACTACACTTAAAGTCCAAAATTAAATGCTATTAGAGCAACACCAACCAAAATATCAAAATGAGATATCAAATATTAATTTTGAAATTTGATATTTTATTTACCATAGGTAATCAAAAGATTGTTAGTTAAATAGAAATAAAATGATTATATATTTAATTGTCACGTTCATTTTCTAAGTGGTCATTTAAGTTGTTAAATTTGTAACTTCCATTTGTTTTTATTTCTTCAAGATGTGCTTTTACATTGCAGGATGTAGGGGTGCAAGTTGGAACAGAAATTCCAATTTTCGCCGATTCCGATCCGAAAAGTTCCAATTTTGGAACAATTTCTTTCAGTCCGATTTCCGAAATTCCGATTTCTGAATTTTTCTGATTTTTTTGGATTGGAATTGGAATTATATAAAATAAATTTGGAATTTCTGATTTCCGATCCGATTTAATTTTCGAAATTAATTCCGAAAAATTCCGATTTTTTTCCGAAAAATACACCCATAAATAATATATATTATATAATATTTATTTTCCAAAGAATACACCTATAAGTTTTGTTTTAGGATTTTGAGATAATGAATTGTTGTTAGAAGTTTTATTGGATATTATGTTGTGTTTATTTTTATTTTATTTTTTTAACTGAAATTTAGTAATTATTAGTTTACTTTTATCGACGTGGATGTTCTTATTTTTGGAAAATTATGAACATTTTCGACGATACGGGGGAAACGAAACAGAGAGTTTGCACTTTTCCCATATCGTCCAATATACCACTTCATATCACGATATGGGGAACATAATTTCAGAATCTTCGAAGAAGCCATATCGCGATGCCGATATGGGCTCGGGATTTGACAGTTCTTCGCGGAATCTTCGACGGGGTTTCAACCCAAGTTTTTCATTAGCTTTTTCTCTACGTATAGTTGATGATTTCTCGTGTTCTTCATTTTGATGCTATGTTTGTAATGAACTGAGCATTTTCTTCTAGGGAGATGAAACCTCGTATATATTAATTTTGATTTTCAAATTTGTTATCTATTTATCGTTCTTTGATTATGTTTATGTTTTCTTCTACTTCTTAACAACCTTCATCACTATCCAAAGTTTTTAATGAATTTTTTTTTTTCCAAAGACCCTTTCAAATTGTAATTCCATGTATTTCAAAAATATTTCGGAGAAATTCGGAGAAACCGCAAAAGGAACCTTCTCTTAGTCTTCGGGTGACTAAGAAGAGATAGCAAAAGAGGAGAATGATCGGGCGCCGTGCAAGCTAAGTGCCCAAGTCGGATATCTGGAAACTCCTAGTACACCTGCCCATTAATTAACCCGGTCTAATCGTTCCCAAATACGATCCCTACCCACTTGATTGTTACTCCAAGTAAAAGAGGACCCGACAAAACCAGCATCAGCATAGCCCAGCCTGTATAATAGATTCATGGAAATCGCGCATGCATGAAGATTACCCTCAAGTTTCTTAGTGTTATTCATAATTGCATTCAAGTCCCCCAGAGTTATTAACGGGATATATATTAAATTCAACACGAAGTTGAACTAAATGATTCAACGTAAAATAATCGCCTCTCCCTACTACAACACCGTACGAACCATAAACAAATGTAAACATGCACTAGGTACCAAACGTACCGCGAACTTTCATTATGACCGATTGAATAGTAATATGTTCGACAACAACCTCCAAACCCTCAGTCCGAAATATCCATCCTTAGTATTCTTGATCCACAAAGTAATTTTGAAATCCAATTTTACGAGCATGTAACGTTGTTTTGGTTCAAGTAACGCCAATATGTCTGGCTTATGAAGTTTAATTAGCACTTTGAGAAGATTCAATGAATCACGTGTCCGGTGTCCCCATGCCCCTAATATTCGATGAGATAAGCAATCTAAATTGGTAATTATCGTTACCATGCCGTACCATACCAAATTCCGGCATACTGAATTGTTTGGTAGGAGTATTGTAATGAATTTTATAATACCGAAATTTCAGTAATGGTAATTATATAACAATTAAATGCCACTATTGTACCCAATATTACTTGCACAATACCAATACCATATCAAATGTAATGGTAACCCGACTGTAAGAGTTTATCAGCTCAATTTACCAGACGTAAGAGATTATCAACTGTTTAAACTAAGCTTAGCCAAACAGGCCCTGAATCAAGTTAAATTTTATATGTTTTAATTTAACTATGCTACTTAAGGTTTTAAAATAAATATAAGTTAAAGTCCTTTTAATTTGTTTCTTTTTGTCCATTGATCATCTATAGTTTTTTTTCTTTTCAAATTCATTAAACAATGAAAACTTTACTTTATATAACGAATTGTTTATAAGCCCGAAACTGCCCATTCGAAGTGCCTGTTAAGGGTCGGAACCAGCTGGTAGCTGGTTCCGACTTGTGAATCGGCGGTTTCTAACTATAAACAATATAAGAAAAGTAATAAATAATATAAGAAAAGTAAAGTAAATAAATAATTGTACCTTTCCTTTTTTCAAAATATATAATAGTTAAATTTAATTTGGACCATTAACTCTTAGTTGAAATACCATATGAATAGCTCTCCCCTTTAAATAGCTACTCCCCTTTGAGACAAGTGGCAAACCTTAATTAGGTAGCCCTCAGTTGTATAAATAACCATTGCTATAACATACATTTTAATCATATTCAACCAGCTTTGTATTTCCCAAGTTTTATACATTCTATATATATTCTCTGTGTTAATTAGTTTTCTTGAAAATATTTAATAATAAGCAGAAAATGGATAACTCCAACAACATGAGCTACCAAGCTGGAGAGGCCAAGGGCCAAGCTCAGGTTGCCTCCACTTGTACACACACACACACACACACACACACACACACACACGCGCACGCACGCACGCGTGCACGCGGACACACTGATTTATTGTTTCATTGTGATTATTAATGTGAATATATATTGCAGGAAAAGGGAAACCAGATGATGGAGAAGGCTAGCAATGCTGCACAGTCCGCCAAAGAATCCATGCAGGAGGTATGTATATAATCTGCATGCATGCAAAAACCTATCATTAATTTTCAATGAAAAAAAAAATACTATATATATATATATATATATATATATATTATTTTTCTGAATGTATATATGATATATAATTACTAATTTTATTGGATGCCATTTCGTCGTTTCTCTACGTAATTTTTGTGGTCATATATATATCGGAATTGTTGCGGTGTTTAGGCTGGACAGCAGGCTCAGGCAAAGGCACAAGGTGCAGTTGACTCAGTGAAGAATGCCACCGGAATGAACAAATGATGAGAGATAGAGCTTCAATTCATTGTTTTTCATCTGCCCTATGTTGTTTTTGACTTTCAGTCCCTTTTTTTTTTTTTTTTAAAGTAGTTTTTCCCTTTGGTGATTACGTAGGATCGATAAACGAAACAATCGTGTTTCCGCTCAGGGCAGAGGGAGGGTTACCACTAGCTTAGCCATTAGGGTTTTAAATCGGATTTTGAATGGTTGAATTCCACTTATTTCGATTTGAATTTACCAATTTTGATTGTTCTTTCATTTCGATTTTTAAATTGTTCAATGTGTTATATTATTAATATTGATATATACATACATATGAAAATTAAATAAGAAAAATGAACCCGGATTTTTCTATTATATAATTTGAGAAAATATGACGGAATATAAAAAGTATGAGAGAGAATTTAAGAAGAGATCAATATTATTATTGATGTAAAACGTGGCCAAGTTTGTACATGTGTTTATATAGATGAATTCATAGGTTTTTTTTTTCTACTTTAAAGATATGGATGTCTAACTAAGAGCTTCCCCGATCTACATCTTCTTTGATGATTTGATCTTTATCTTCTTTCCTTATATGATTTTCTTTTCTCTATCTTCATGTTCAAAATATCGTCGCGAATCCCTGTCTTCGATAATCCTATCCGACTCGCTGATTAATACGGGCTACTTCTCGTTTATGTGAACAGGTGTTGCGGCGGCAAGCTCTTCTCTCTAGCGAACCATAAGAGATGTCCAAACAAGCGAACTCAATAAGAGTACCAATAAATGAAGAATATACAAGAAAGTCAATCAACGAACTATGTAATAAAATAATATTTTAGGAGCAAGTATTTTTAGGGGCATACCTCCAACGATTATATATATATATATATATATATATATATATATATATAATGCTAGAGTTGGATCACCTTAGAGAGTTGAAGTATGATGAGCTGGAAGAGTAGGGTGGATCACTTGCTCACGAGCTTGATGACCTTGAGATACCTGCGATCATAGAACACGTGAACTAGACCGGGGTTGATCCGGCGGAAACCCCTCCAACGCTCAAGTCAGACGTGCGAATAGTATAGATGGTCCAGAGAATATAGTGGGTAGTATTGCTCGGATGTACCTTAAGGAATGAGTTCAAATCTTTATTTATACCTCATTGATTGGGCTGAAGTTTAATTAGTTGAGATTGTCGGGCCAAAACCTTATTTTAAGGTGATTGGGCCTCGGCAGTAGTGGTCTTCAATATTGGGCTCGTGGCCCAGTAGGCAAAGAAATTGTTGGCCTATTGGGTTGGCCCAATTAGACATATCATTAAGCGCCCCACTCTCGAGTCAATGTGGGGGCCATGTTAAAATGGGTGCCAGATCGTGTCGAGAGTAAAAATTGTTGTAGTCTCGTTGGCTTATGGCCTGATGGTGTGCGAAAATGCGTTGAAGCATTTGTCGGAGGGGCGTGAAGGCGCGTTGGCACGTAGCGCGACCAAGTTGTCGCGATATAAGTTACTTGAGTTGTCGATGTTGTCCCGCGATGACGTGGTAGCGTGAATCGAGTTATCTTCTCGTGGGAGTTGTTATTTATTGACGTTGTCAATGGTTTGACGCGTTGCTTGTATGTGTTTACATATAGCCTTGTGCGTGATGTACTTGATGAGTGGATCAGGCTCTCAAGATTTTTTTATGGGATCGTGCCCTTTGTTAGACCTCGTGGGTCGCAAGTATGTTTGGACCGTGACCACGTTTTAATGAATGACCCATCGAAAACAAGTAGAGAAATTTGAGTCATCAAGCTGGCCAGGCTATATAAATTCCCATAATATCTCTAAGTGTTTCTAAGATTGTAATCATGCTAACTTGAGCTTGCGATTGTGTAGTGAATTGCGAGCGAGTTGTCTCCTCGAGAGAGTTGTCTCACAGTGAAGTTGTAGGAGCATTGGATGACGCGCGGCTGAGGAGCATGTGGATTGAGGTCGCTCAGAGCAAGTTGTCTCCTCGTGGGAGTTGTCTCGTAGCGAGTCTTATTATCGAGCGAGGTGGCTCATCGTGGGAGTTGCCTTGCAACGGATTTGTAGTGCCGAGCGAGTTTGATACGAACCCCGTAGAACTTGTTACGAGACCCTAATACCCTACGCGGAAGCAAGATCGAAAACATCAAAAAACAAAGATTCAAAGGGTGGAACCGCGACCCGTTGCCTATAAAGAGGCAAGAACCTTGGTATGTGAAGACGCCACAATCGATTGCGGAAGATCGATTGGTAAGTCGGGGTGAACAAACGGAATCCACCGATATGTTCGAAGAGTTCTTAAAGAACCAAAGAGAATAATCTCATAATTTTATTCAAAATTCGTCCTATCAAATAAGCCAAATTGGCAACCTATTTATAAGTGCTAAAAAGACTCTTTTTTCACATGGAAAAGGACTCCTACCTAAACTATAATAAGGAAACATGTAAATAAGCAAACCCTAACCATAAAAGACTCTAAAATAATAAAAACATAATAAAACCTAAATATAAAACGTGCATAATTAGATAAGATAACTTGATCTTCAAGTCGACTTCTCGATCACCCTTCTTAACTCGCGACATTGGGCTGTGCACGTGCATGCAATTAAAGCTCAATTTCGACACTGTTCCACTTCGAATATCTCTTCGCTCAAAACATAAAAGTTGTAGATCTTTCAGTTAGGTTTCCTAATCATTTTGAATCAGCTTAAATGGACTTCGGATGCGAGAGTTATAACTCGAATGGTAAACTCTGATAGAATAGGCGAGAATCTCGGATGCATGGAATTCGACTTGTCCAACGAGTTCTTCTCTTTCTTTTCTTCCAATTCCAAACCACGGACTCTTCAGAGGCCTGATTCAAGCCTTTATTCTTCAATTCCAACACGAACGGTTCCATTAATCTCACTCGCTTTCCCTTCTTCCAATTCTTTGTCTTGGAGCTTGTGCGAATCGTATCATTCTCCCCCTCTTTAAAAGGATTCGTCCTCGAATCCGGACAAATATCACAAGGAGTATAAACAAGATCGATCTCTCTGTTTGGTAGCGAACTTACACTTCTCTGCACCACATCGCCAAACACACTATCTAGCATCCATTGAAGTGGATATGAACGCGAGTATTTTGTAGCTTGAAGTTCCAATGCGTTCAACCTCTGTATAGAGAATGATTGAAGCATCTCTCTAGGCACTGCCATCTCATCAACATTCACACTGAGAGTCTTCACTTTGGTTAGCTCGGCATTAACCTCGATGCATGGCTGGATCATATCATTCTCCACCTCTTCAAAAGGATTCGTCCTCGAATCCGAACCTTCTTTTTCTTCAAGTGGTGGCGCGGGTTTGCAATTTTCTTCCCCCTTGGACTCGACCTCAACATTCTCACTTAACTTTTCCTCAAGCAGCAGTTTATCACTTGCTAAATCAGCTACAATGTTCTGATTCTCAAAAGCTTGACGAGTATCTTCCCTTCCAAGTGACGATAAAGAATCACCCTTTCTCTTCAATTTCTTGTAGTCCGACCCCAAATTCATGAATGGCTTATCCAAACAATCTGAAGCGACATGACCAAAACCCAAACACCAAAAACATTTAGTGTCATGAATTGAACGAGATTGAGAAGAATAATAACCTCTTTCTTTAGTCTCATATGGAGGATCGAACGTGGCCTCTCTCGGTATTGATTCCCTATCTCGGTTTGATGAAGAGCTCCACCGTGATTTTCGACTCGGCGATCTCCTTTCTTTTAACTCAGTAGCATAGGATGAATGAACTAAGTACTTGCTTGATGTAGGATAATCATCTAACTCTCGCTCGTAATGACCTCGTCTTGGTCGATCGAACTGAGCCCCTCGCCGCAAATAAAAATCTCTTGGTGTTGCAGCACACTACGCCAAATTGCATTTCAGGCGACATTTTTTTGCGACGAAATTACCTCATTTGCGACGAAAAATTAAAATTTGCGACGTTTTTATTGCGACAAAACGGGCAGGAAAAAAAGTCAAAAAAGTGCCCGTCGCAAACTATTGCGACGGATTGACCAAAACGTCGCAACCTTATGCGACGATTGAGCAGAAACGTCGCAAATTTGCATTTTTTTTCGTTTTTGGATATATTGCGACAAAATTTACAAATAGTCGCTATATTCGTCCTCCAACTGCGACGAATATTTATCGTCGCACACTATTGCGACTATATTTTCCTAACATAATTCGTCGCAATTTTTTTCTCTTTGCGTCGCTTTTGTACTAATTGTCGCAGACTTTTATTATCAAATTGCGACGTATATTGCCGTATCGTCGCAATTAACTATTGTGACCATGCGGCGGAAAAATTAAAAAAGTCGCAATATGTCTTTGTAAACGTCGCAAATTTATGAATATAATTTTAATATAATTCTGATTTTTATTTTTAATTCTTAATTTACCTGTAATTATAAACAATACCAATAAAATTAAATACACAAAATATTAAACAAATCGATTAAATTAAATCATCCAAATATTCTTTCAAAATACAAAACCATCCAAACATTCGAAAACACAAAATCATCCAAACACAAAATAATCCAAATAAAAACTTAAATCATTCACACATGAAGTAAAAATACCCAAACCTAATGTTGTCGAGGAAACTAGTTACTTTCGCCGGATGGATTCTGGGAATGGAACTCGACACCTTGGCCCTAAAATGTTCGTCCTTTTATCTTCTTTTAAAGCCCCTATTTCTTCATCTCTACCAGTAGAAAACAAGTTGGACCTTCCCCAATTTCTTTGAACTTGAGCAACCAATTCCAAGTCTTTTAGTTTTTCCCAATACTCGTTCGTAAGCTAACGTGTTAACGATGCTTTCATTACTCCCATAATTCATGCATTCTTGATAGACCTCATTCATACATTCTTGATAGACTCTGTCAAAATCCGCCCGAGTAATATCAAAAACTACATTAACACGACCTATTTGATACGGAGTATATAATAAAACAATACTTCAAATAAAAATTCACCTACTACATTGCTTAACCCAAACATGGTCAAGTAGAAAAAAACACAATAATTCATTTAAAAGATCGACCAGCTACTATACACAACTAACGAATGCAGAAGTGTGAAACAAAGCAACAATTCAACAAAAATATGCATAAACTACATTAGAGAACCCAAAATACATATAGCTGCTCAATTATTCACCAACTACATTGCACAATTCAAATATAAATATATCTAAGTACCCA